GCCAATTTTTAGATTCTCTAGAGGCAAGGGCTTCCTGGTAGGTTTTAGGCTCATTCAACTCAAGAGTTTCAAAAACAGAGAATGCAAATAAAGAAGTATCATAGAGGTGAAAAGCATAGTCAGTCACGCTATCAGAAATCTTCTTTATGTTTCTACTAGTCCTATCTCTGGCTAACACATAATCATCTAGACTTTCATTCTCAACTTGGATTTCACCAAGTTCTTCATTATCAGCAAAATCAGATTGAACAATCACATCATGCAAATTTTCATCATCATCATTAGATCCACTGGGCTGGTCCACCTCACTGGAGGTGGAGTGGGTGTCATGCATAGTGTTTGTCAATTCAGGAGTAACAAACTCATTTAACAGAGGGGCAGCAGCGGTCTGGATAGGCTCCACCTCACTGGGAGTGGTGCCATCATGCATAGTTTGAGGGTCAGTCACTTGTTTAACTAAGCAGGGAAAATCACTTTCATTGAACACAACAATCCTGCTTATAATGACCTTAAAACCACCCTGGTTTCTATCCCAGATCCTATACCCTTTAACACCTTTAGGATATCCTAAGAAAATGCATTTCTTAGACCTAGGGTCCAGCTTATCAGTCTGTTGGTGTACATAGGCAGCACACCCAAACACCTTTAGGTGTGACAGGTCAATGGGTTTCTTAGAGAAGATAGCCTCAGGGCATTTACCATCTAAGGGTACAGAAGGAGATCTATTTATCAAGTAGGTGGCAGTGTTGACAGCTTCTCCCCAAAACTTCTTGGGGAGGCCAGAAGTGGAAAGCATACTCCTAACCTTGTCTAGGAGGGTCCTATTCATTCTCTCAGCCAAGCCATTTTGTTGGGGAGTATAGGGCACACTTTTGTGTCTCCTAATCCCACTCTCAATACACAACCTATCCATATCCTTATTGCAGAATTCTAATCCATTGTCAGTTCTAAGGGTTTTAACCTTACATCGAGTTTGATTTTCTACCATAATTTTCCATTCTTTAAACCTAACATACACATCAGATTTATGTTCTAACAAACAGACCCAGACTTTTCTAGAAAAGTCATCAATTATGGACAGAAAATACCTCCTACCCCCATGGGTAGGGACACTGGATGGACCCCATACATCTGCATGTATGTAGTCAAGGACAACTTTGGACTTAGGCTCATTAGGATAGCTAGAAACAGGAAACTGAACCCTATGTTGTTTACCTAAGACACAACCTTCACAGAAAGGTATAGGTGACACCAAGTCATTACCAAAACACCCATTTTGTTTCAAAATGTTTAATCCTATATTACTCATGTGACCCAGTCTTTGGTGCCAAAGCACAGACTTGTCACTAAGTACAGCATTAGCATTTTCAGAAAAAGGTTTGGCATGCACAACATAAAGGTTATTTTGTTTCAAAGCTTTAAACAAAACAAGGGAGTTTTTCGGAATTTTCATACACCCATTACCCCATTTACCCTCAAGACCACATTCTTCAAAAGCAGAGACTGAAAATAGGTTATGCCTTAGATCAGGTACATGCCTGACATTTTTAATTTGAAAAACAGTTCCATTTTCAAATTTTAGACAGATGTCACCAATACCAAGGACCTTACACCTTTTGCTATCAGCTAGGGAAACAAAACCAGTTTCACATAAGTTATAGGAGGAAAACAGATTCCTAAACGGGGTCATATGGTAGGTACACCCAGAGTCTATTAACCATTCAGATTCAGTCAGACTACTAAGCACAGAATTGGCTTGATCACAGACCATAAAGACTTCTTCCTCTACAGGTTTACTAGTCACAGCATTAGCCTGGTCATTTCTCTTAGGTTGGGTGCAATCTTTTATGAAGTGTCCTGGGTTATCACAGTTATAGCACACTCTTTTCCTAGACTTAAAGCTCTTCTTACTAGGGTGTCTACCATTCTTATCCCGATTGTCCTTTTTAGGGTGTCTAGACCTGCTTTTAGACCTTCCCCTAACATACAAAGCTTCCCCAGATTCCCTATGATGGTTCCTAGAATGTTTTAAGTCAAGTTCTTTACTTCTCAGGCCATTAATAACAATATCTAGGGTTATGTCATCCCTCCCATACTTAATGGCTGACTTAACATCATTATAGGAATCAGGTATAGCATTCAGTAAGACTATGGCAGTGTAGTCATCTATATGTTTATCCCCTGCCTGCTTAATGTTTTGGATTAGTTTATTAAAAACATCTAGGTTTTCATCAATATCTTTTGTTAGGTCAAGTCTGAACCTAAAAAACTTTTCCAACAAAACAGTTTGCCAGGAAGGGAAGTATCAGTATATAGAGACTCAAGTTTATCCCAGGGGTCTTTAGCAGACTCAATGACTCCAACCTTTCTAAGGACAGAGTCAGACAAGTTTAAATATATGGTTGAGCAGGCTGTTTCATTCATTTCAACTTGTTTAGATTTATCCTCAGTTTCTAAGTATTGTCCAGTAACAGCTCTATATACCTTCTGTTGAATTTACACACATTTTATTTTCTGTTTCCAAATATCAAAATCAGTCTTACCATTAAAAGGCATCATACCATACTGGTTTGAAGCCATGATAACAGTCAATACAAAGCTGCTGAGATACAGGTAATATAAAGGCTAACCCTAGTGGTTTGGGTTGCGGACTAAGTGACCACACAGTTTTGGGGCCACTGAAGTGGCTGGCAGGGAATCACTTAGCCCTAACCTCAGGTGCCCTAGCCAACTAAGGGTTAGAAAGCCACACTATTACCAGAACTCAACACCAAGCACAGGAAATTGACAGACTGACTGAGCAGAGAAATAACACAAATAATACAACAGAAATAAGGCAAGCTACAACAATACAGAGACAGGTTCAGAGGTAATCACACAGAGAATGAATTTAGCAAAACAAGTTCACATATAATCAGTGGCCAAGTTCGACACAGATTGGACCACTCACGCACTAGTTCAACAAACCTAGGGTTTCTGCAGATCTGTCTAGACAGAATCTGCACATGCAAACGGAAAAGCTAGGGTTTCTAACCGGCAGTTCCTCAACCTAGGGTTTCAAGACTACCCATGCATCACAGAAGCCGGTGGCACTCCGGCAGCCCAAAGGTCAGGGTTTTAGTGTTATACCTGAGCGGGTGTCCAGCAAAGACAACCCGACTTACTAACTTCGATGGAGCTCCAGTTGTTTCCGGTGTGGGAGTTGTCCGGCGAGCTTCCGGCGTCAGCGAGAGGCAGCAGCGTCCATGCTCTGATACCACTGTTAGAAATCCGGACCGGCTCATACCTCAATCACCACAAAGCCCAAGGGCTTGCTCACACTCACCACCAGAGTTACAACCAGGGAAGACGAAGGGCGACAACCAACAAGCCCTCACAACCAGAACCCAGACCCGAGCCCAAAAGACCCACCAGAGATGAAACCAACCCACCACACTACCAGACTAGAGTGAATATAAGAGAGGGCCACATGGGCATGGGCTGGGAATAAAACAAGGGAAGGGGAATGGGCTTGGTCGGGTTGCCAGCCCAGTTGGGCCAGAACAATTAATAGGAGACCAGCATAATAAATGAGGTGGACCAAAGACATAGAGGTGGCCCGGATGAGGTGGACCAATACCATCAACATAAGTCAATTAAGTACCAATTAAATTGTAGCGGCCGATTTTTTAGTTAAAGAAGAAGAAGAAGCCACATGGCGGTCATATAGCAAAGGAGTAAAATATGGGTAGATAGACACATAAGCTTTGTTAAGGGTAAAATGATCTTTGAATGAGCTATTTACTTTCTTATATATAAAAATAGAAAACGAAGTGCATATAGAGAGAGTTGGGGCGGTTATGACTCTAGGTTTTTGTTTTTATTATTACGTTACATAACTTCAATTCTTTCGTTCATTTGGAAAAAGAAGACGAATTAGCCACATGACGGTCATATAGCAAAGGAATAAAATATGGATAGATAGACACATAAGCTTGGTTAAGAGTAAAATGATCTTTGAATAAGCTATTTGCTTTCTTATACTCGCGTACATAAATAGATTCGTTTTTTATAGTGAAGAGTTGATCTAGTCAAGGATTGAAATATCATTTTTCAGTGATTGAAATAACTTTGATAAATCGGCTTTATCGATGTGTGATTGTCTCATTAAAATAATTAGGCATAATATAGTACATTGGATAACATAATTAAATCCATTTGGAATACGATTCTATAAATGGGATGGATGAAAAGTGAGACTGGAACATTATCTTTGAGATAAAGGGATTAGTCCAAATAATTGAATAATATCACTACCAGGCATCAAAGCATCACTAGCAACTGCTATGTCAGTTTATTACTACGTACATCGTACTTCATACATTTTACACAAGAATCTAGATATTGGTTTTGGTAAGCTGAAGTCTAAGGCAATTTTATTTTTTCAACTTTTTTAGTATTCATTTTTCATATTTAGCCCACCCATATAACATTTAAATCTACTCCGAAATACTTCATCCGTCCCGAAAAAGTTCACCAAATTAACTTTTCTTGCTCAATGACAATCATATTTGACTAATAATATTTTTAATACAAAATCATTTAGAGTATAAAAAATATATCAAAATGTTCCTTATTCAAAATATTTTCATAAAAGTATAAAATTTATAAATTTTATATAAATATGGAGTATAATAATAAAAATCATATCATTTTCCAAAGCTCGCCATCATTGACCAGGAAAATGTTAGATTATTGGACTTATACTACATGTAATATTCACAATATATTATTTATCGGGTTTAATTGTATGTTATATGCTATCTTATATTTAGGCCCAAAAAAAAAAATTAGTGATCCTATGGATATTAATTTAAGTGGGCTAATAAGTTATCTAATAAGGTATAGGGCCCAAATGTGTAGAGACCCATGGGCTTGACTTAATCAATGATGGGCTGATTAGGGTTAAGCACTCTATAAATAAGGGGTTATGGTCCCTAGTTGTACACGCCATTCTGTCTTTCTGGATCCCATCGCTAGAGAGATAATCCCGAGGGTGTGTATCAGCTAGAAGACGCAAACCCTAGCCTCCGTCTCCCGGATCCCTAAAGATCATCTCCGATGGAGTCAGGTACGCTTCCGCTCAGTTAATTCTCTAGATAATTTCAATATGAAGATTAAAGTATTATCGGATTTATTCCAACAATTGGTATCAGAGACACCTTCATATTGAATTATTTGGAGTTAGTTGATGATTAAATGGAAATCGAAATTTTCTTGTATGGCTGCCGATTTGATTTGTGGCAGCATACTTGGGGGCAGCATACTTGGGTTTCGTTTTGTCTTTTGATTCATTGTTCTTTAAGCAAAGCAATTTCACACGTTATGATGGGATACTGCGATTTGTATTTTTTATTATAATTATTATGTTTCTAATGCCACTACCTGCATGGAGTCAGAGTTAGATTTATACAATAATTCGGCAATTGATGTTGTAGTGGAATTGTACATATTTCGTAATTGTCGAATTGTTATTTTCTACATAATTCGCAAATTTATACACACACATATATATATTGGACAACTCCGGCTTTCATAATTGTCGAATTGTTATTTTTCTGGGTTTTGTTTTGGGATCAATCAATCATGCGATTGAATAGTTTTTTTTGGGTTACATCATCAATTTTCTGGAAAATAGATTCAATAGTCAATTATTATTTTGGATGTGGCTGAATTGATTCATAACTAATCATAATTTCAGTTTCTTTCTTTAAGGAATCAAGCCTTTAGCTTATTTGTTTTGGATTTGGAATCGATTTTGTTTTAAAACGATTAGGCATTTACCCGAGAATACCTATATCAAATTAAATTTTGACATGCTTCATTTTTCGGTAATTTAATTTTGGAATTTTATGGCTTTAGTAATATATTAAGTGCATATATGTGATTATCGATTTGGTAATTAAATACTTATATGTGATTACGGGCAAAATCAGTTCCATTAGAATTGCATATTTGGAAATAAATTACTTTTATTGGTGATCATGATTTACAGTTAAAAATGTATTATGTGTTATGGATGTATAAACCCTAATTTGTGATCACATAAAGATTGGGTACATGTTTTACAAATTTCGTTACACATAACACATTTGCATGTGATTCAGAAAAATTCGCCCAATTTTATTTTCAGATTGTTGATTTAATATTAGCATGTCTAATATTTGGGTTGATTAATTGACGCAACATGCTGCCAAAGTAGCCTCTCTTGTTGAAATTAATTAACTCATATATTAAGATGATTGTGTACTTTCTTATTTCATGCGGATAATAATCGGCCCAAAGGAAGGTTATTATTTGGCCGAAATTTAAGTACATTTGTGATAATAAAATTTGTGATGATTATGAAGTTTTTTCGTGTGAATATTAAGTCGGTCCAAAGAAAGGCTTAATATTTGACAAGATTTTATTATCAAAATTTTATTATCACACCAAGAGTACCACTTGCAAGTCTAATTTATGTCCAAAGACAAGATTAGATGTTGCGCTAGGTATCTTGTGATGGGGATTGCTAATATTTAAATTTAAAATTAATTATAAAAATTAATTTCAATTCCTAGAGCATATCATTTATATTATTTTTGTTCTCTTTCAGTCAACAATTCTGCTGCTACAATATCTGCTAATATTAATAGCATCTCAGTGCTTAACGGCACGAATTTTAAGGAATGGAAAGAGAATGTTATGATCGTTCTCGGTTGCATGGATCTAGACCTTGCACTTCGGACTGAGAAACCCGCCGCTCTTAAGGACACATCTACCCTCGATGAAAAGAGGGAGATGGAGAGGTGGGAACGCTCAAACCGCATGAGTCTAATGATCATGAAACGTGCAATTCCAGAATCATTCAGGGGCACAATGTCTGATGAGGCCGATGCCAAATCATTCCTTGCTGAACTTGAAAAGCGTTTTGCTAAAAACGAAAAGGCGGAAACTAGTACTCTTTTGAGCACTCTTGTTTCTATGAAGTATAAAGGCAAAGGGAACATAAGGGAGTACATTTTGGAAATGTCTCATATTGCTTCAAAACTAAGTGCACTAAAGCTTGTTTTACCTGAGGAATTGCTTGTGTATTTAGTTTTGATCTCTCTTCCTTCTCAATTTAATCAATTTAAAGTCAGTTACAACTGCATTAAGGAGAAATGGTCTCTCAATGAGCTCATTTCTCATTGTGTTCAAGAGGAAGAGAGAATAAAGCAAGATAAGACAGAAAGTGCTCATTTGGCATCTACCTCTAAGGGCAGCAATAAAAGAAAAATTAAGGAAGCTGCAAATTCGGGGCCTCCCAGGAAGCTTCACAAGGAAACTAAAGAAGAAACTAAGGAATCTGGATGCTTCTTTTGCAAAGGGACTAATCACAAGAAAAAGAACTGCACTAAGTACCATGCTTGGCGTGCGAAAAAGGGTATGTCTCTTGCTCTTGTTTGTTCTGAGGTTAATTTAATTTCGGTACCAAAAGACACTTGGTGGGTAGATTCCGGTGCTACTACTCACATAAGTGTATCTATGCAGGGTTACCTGAGCTGCCGAAAACCAATTGATGGTGAAAGATACATCTATGTCGGTGATGGCAAGCGGGTTGAAGTTGAGGCTATCGGTGTTTTTAGATTATTATTAAAGACTGGTTTTTATTTGGATTTGAAAGAGACATTTGTTGTGCCGTCATTTAGGCGGAATTTAATTTCTATTTCTGCATTGGACAAATTTGGTTATTCTTGTTCATTTGGAAATAGTCAGTTCAGTCTATTTCAAGATTCAAAACTTATTGGTACTGGTCTTTTATCAGTTTATGATAATCTATATTCACTTGATATAAATACCTCATATAATGAAACCTTGCATGTAAGTACTCGTGGTACTAAAAGAAAATTAACCAATGAGAATTCATTTTCACTTTGGCACAAGCGTCTAGGACATATTTCTAAAGAAAGAATTCAGAGACTTGTGTCAGATGGAATTCTTGATTCTCTTGACTCCTCAAATTCTGATATTTGTGTTGAGTGCGTTAAGGGAAAACAAACAAACAAACGGAGGTTAGGTGCCGAGAGAGCTTCAGATCTATTAGAATTGATATATACGGACATTTGTGGACCATTCCCTACACCATGTAGAAATGGCCAAACATATTTTATCACATTCATAGATGATTACTCTCGTTATGGTTACCTTTATCTCATTCATGAAAAGTCCCAATCAATAGACGTGTTCAAATCTTATAAGGCCGAAGTTGAAAATCAATTAGGCAAAAGAATAAAAACCGTTAGATCTGACCGTGGTGGTGAATACTATGGTAGATATGATGGTTCCGGTGAACAACGTCCAGGGCCATTTGCTAAATACCTAGAGGAGTGTGGAATTGTTCCTCAGTACACCATGCCAGGAACTCCTAGCATGAATGGTGTTGCTGAGAGACGAAACCGTACATTGAAGGACATGGTTAGGAGTATGATTTGTCATACTACTTTACCCGATTCACTCTGGGGAGAGGCACTGAAAACTGCAGCTTACATACTTAACAGAGTTCCCACTAAAGCTACAACTAAAACCCCTTATGAAATTTGGACTGGAAAGAAACCCAGTATAAATCATTTCCATGTTTGGGGTTGTCCAGCTGAGGCAAGGCCTTATAGGCCAAATGAAAAGAAACTGGACTCAAGAACAGTTAGTAGCTATTTTGTAGGATACTCTGAGAGGTCAAGGGGGTATAAATTTTATGATCCCACTACCAGGACTATTTTTGAGACGGGTAATGCCCGGTTCTTTGAGGATATTGAGTTTGGGGGGTGGGGAGATAAGGTTAGAGATTTTGTCTTTGAGGAAGAACATGTTACTCTTCCTTCAGTTGTCATTGAACATGATGAAGATATGTTTATTCCTAATGATGTTCAAGAAACAACTCCAGTTCATGACAATCTCGAAAACATTCCCAATCAAGTACCTGAATTTGTTAATGAGGATCAAACTCAACAACCTCAAGAACCTGAGGTGCCATTAAGGAGATCCACTCGAGAGAGGAGAAGCGCAATTCCGGATGATTATATTGTATTTCTCCTAGAACATGAGGAAAATTGGGAATTGGTGGAAGAAATAATTGTCTTCCTCCAAGAACAAGAATCGGATGTTGGTTTTGCGGTAGATGATCCAATCAACTTCCGTCAAGCCATGGAAAGTTCTAACTCTCAAGAATGGATTAATGCCATGAAAGATGAGATGAAGTCTATGAGTGACAATGACGTTTGGGAGATAGTCTCATTGCCTGAAGGTATTAAACCCATTGGTTGTAAATGGATATTTAAAATCAAGAGGGATTCAAAGGGCAATGTTACAAGGTTTAAAGCTCGTCTTGTTGCTAAAGGCTACACTCAAAAGAAAGGAATTGACTATAAAGAGACTTTCTCTCCGGTATCCTCGAAAGACTCTTTTAGAACAATAATGGCATTAGTGGCACATTTTGATCTTGAGCTTCATCAGATGGATGTAAAAACTGCATTTCTCAATGGTGACATTGAGGAATCAATCTATATGGAGCAACCAGAAAACTTTGTTTCGGGAGATTCAAAGAAAATGGTTTGCAAATTAAAGAAATCCATCTATGGGCTCAAACAGGCTTCTCGTCAGTGGTATCACAAGTTTCATAAAGTCATTATATCCTTTGGTTTTCAACCAAACGTCAGTGATGATTGTATATACCACAAGTTCAGTGGGAGTAAGCATATTTTCCTGGTCTTGTATGTTGATGACATACTGCTTGCTACTAACGATATAGGCTTATTACACGAAACTAAGAGATTTCTTTCAAAGAATTTTGAAATGAAAGATCTTGGTGAGGCTTCTTTTGTATCAGGAATTCAAATCCACCGAGATCGCTCCAAAGGCGTTCTTGGACTCACACAAAAGAGCTATATCGATAAGATTCTCAAAAGGTTTGGTATGCAAGACTGCAAACAAGGAGATACCCCAGTTTCTAAGGGAGACAAGTTTAGTCTCATGCAGTGCCCTAAGAATGGTTTTGAATCTAAAGAAATGAGGAACATTCCTTATGCTTCGGCTGTAGGAAGTTTGATGTATGCCCAGGTTTGTACAAGGCCTGATTTGGCATACATTGTTGGGATGTTAGGCAGATATTTGAGCAATCCGGGAATGGACCATTGGAAAGCAGCCAAAAGGGTCATGCGGTATTTACAGAGAACAAAGGAATATATGCTCACATATCGGAGATCGGATCAGCTTGAGATCATTGGGTATACCGACTCTGATTTTGTTGGATGTCAAGATAGCTTGAGATCCACTTCAGGCTACATCTATATTCTAGCTGGAGGAGCTATCTCCTGGAGGAGTATCAAGCAGACTCTTACAGCTACTTCCACCATGGAAGCAGAGTTTATAGCATGTTATGAGGCATCCAATCAGGCATTATGGCTGCGAGATTTTGTTAGTGGACTACGCACAGTGGACAACATTGAAAGACCACTTAAGTTATTGTGTGACAATAGATCAGCAGTCCTCTATGCTAAGAACGACAGTAGTTTGACCAAGGCAAAACACATTGGGGTCAAATTTAAGGCTGTTAAGGAACGAGTACAAGAAGGAAAGTTATCTATAGAGCACATTAGCACAAACTCCATGATTGCGGATCCGCTCACTAAAGGATTACCACCCAAATTGTTTCATGAGCATGTTGCTCAAATGGGTGTCAAATCAGTTGAGGATTATGAGTTTTAGTGGGAGTTTGTAATGTTTCTATGTTTGGTTAACTCAAGTTTTAATGTTATTTTCTGCAGAAATAAAGTTTAAAGTTTTATGTACTCTTACAGTTATATTATTGATCTCAGGGTGGACCAGTTGGAAATAGACATTCTATTCCAGACCACACTATATGTTATTTCCACGCTACACACCTATACTTGATCCATGTCGTTTATTATATTAACATATGTGATCATTGATGGGTCTAGTTATTCAAATATAGCAAAGACTTCTTTGGTCCTATGTTGATATAATTAATGGACCGGATTGATTAAGGATGACTACAGTTTGATAGCAAAAATTTGGAGCTCCTAAAGTAAACATACAATTCTAAGGATTGTGTATACATGTGTATGTCGTCCAAGTGGGAGATTGTTAGATTATTGGACTTATACTACATGTAATATTCACAATATATTATTTATCGGGTTTAATTGTATGTTATATGCTATCTTATATTTAGGCCCAAAAAAAAAATTAGTGATCCTATGGATATTAATTTAAGTGGGCTAATAAGTTATCTAATAAGGTATAGGGCCCAAATGTGTAGAGACCCATGGGCTTGACCTAATCAATGATGGGCTGATTAGGGTTAAGCACTCTATAAATAAGGGGTTATGGTCCCTAGTTGTACACGCCATTCTGTCTTTCTGGATCCCATCGCTAGAGAGATAATCCCGAGGGTGTGTATCAGCTAGAAGACGCAAACCCTAGCCTCCGTCTCCCGGATCCCTAAAGATCATCTCCGATGGAGTCAGGTACGCTTCCGCTCAGTTAATTCTCTAGATAATTTCAATATGAAGATTAAAGTATTATCGGATTTATTCCAACAGAAAAGTCAATATAGCGAACATTTTCGGAACGAAGGTAGTACAATTTCTTTTCAGCATAGAACATTTCAGATTTCTCGATCCGACCATGATTTTACATTATATGAAAGTCTTTTTTCGACAAGTAATTAACCAGTGACATATTGACATGGTACACACAAATCGTACTGAATAAAAGATTTATTCTTCCCACTAAAACTGGATTAGATTATAATAGTACTCAAACCAATATTTGAAAATTAATACTCCCTCCGTCCCTCAAAGGTTTGCCATGTTTGACTGACACGTTGAATAATAAAGTAAAAATTGTGTGGTAGAAATTTGTGCAGAGGAAAGAGCAATAACAGGAGCCACAAATTTATTGATTAAAAGGAAAAGTGACAAAATTTTTGGGATAAAAAAAAAGAAAGTTGACAAAGTTATAAGGGACGGATGGAGTAATTGTTTAAACAATACTTCCTCCGTCCTTTAAAATTTTGTCATCTTTCCTTTTTAGGACGTCTCGAAAAACTTTGTCACTTTTCTTTTCAATCAATATTTTGTAGTTGTTATATCTCTATCCTCTCCAAAAACGGATGACACCCCATCCGTGAGGGCCCCTCAACCCCGACCGGATTGTACATTGGGATGATGTAAATTGAAATATAATCTCAATCTGATTGATAGAGAGTGAGACTATGTCCCCGGTGCTTGCAGAGGCCCTATGCATTTTTAACATAATAACCCCTCATCGCAATTGACGGGATTCGAACTCGAGACCTAACCCTTGTGGCACTCCCTTGCTGTCAGTTGAGCTACGGCCACCGATATCTCAATCCTCTCCGAAGTTTTAAGGGAAGAGCAGTAATCTTTTTATTTTTATTATGATGTCATCAGCTGACAACATAAAATTGCTCAAAAATGCGACAAATAATGTACACAGTAAATTTGTAAGACCGAATCTTGCTGAAAGATGCATTACTACGACACCGAAAAGAAAACTACGGAGTATACAGTAACAACCCCAATCATTGTCCTCTTAATCTCTTGTGCAAATGATATACCACCGCATAGTATGGAAGTACGTACCAAGTACAAGCCACGGTCCCGTTACGTTACTGCAATACGGAAGCGTATACGGTACAG